AGCACACCTGGAAGGTACCAGGCTGGAGAAAACTGCTCTAGCCACTGCATCACACCAGCAGGTACAATACAAGGGGAAGGCAGCAAAAATCATGGCAAAAAGTGAGGCTATCCATGGCGTATTTGGTTATGTAAGGAGGAGACAGAAAGAGGGAAGCCCTTCAGCTACACAGCACAAAGGGCAACAAAAGCTAGACAACTTCAAGGGCCCTACTTTTCCTCAGAAATCTATCTTGAATGGTAGATATCCTACATTGCAAAGCATTTTCATCTCACAACCAAGAGGCACTGCAACATAATCTAGCTCACAGGGCACTGAAAAAGATTAAGTGGCTCAGTGGACAAAGCAAGTAGATTTGAACAGGAGACATCTGGCTATAATAAAAAACCTCCTTCACCACTTAGGAAAAAATCAGTAAATGAGATAAATTCAATAAAAGCTGTTTAATCACTAAGGGAATACCACAACATGGATGTCTGTTGCACTCTTAACTTGGAGTGCAAAGGCAAGGGTCAGCACGGCCTGGCCACCCAAAACAGCTAGTTTTGGCCATCCAAGTGTTTTTACCTGCTCACAGGAGAAGCTAAGCCCCCAGGAGATTTTGCTTCCTGGCAGAGCCTCACTCTGCTCCCCCACCCCCTGGAAAGTTCCCCCATCCAGCCCTGAGGTAGTTTTCTGTCCTTGGAGCAACAGCCAGTAGGGAAAGAACGGCACCAGCTGCAAGGAGTGTGGGAGAGATTTGAGGTCAGAGTTCCAGCTCCAACCTTGGAACACATTTCCACAGTTAGAACTAAAAACTTGACCTTTGCTATGGCTGTCTAGACCTAGACAGTGCCCCGAGGATGGCAGGATGGGCAATATAGGAGTTGTAGGACTTCCTTCTGTCTCTACAGGCAGAGGATACAGCCTTACATCCAGTTAAACATGCTTTAAGTCACAGTGCCAATAAGTGTGAGACCCCTATCTGGGATGTAAAGAATTAGCCAAATTTAAATCTAGCCCAAGACTCTAGATCTAAAGACTGGGAAATGCGGTTATACAAATAAAAGGGAACATTTTAAAAGGTGCAATCCAATCGGCCCATGACACTCTGAAATCAGGAGGACCACAGCATCCTACACAATGCAGAACCATGCAGCCGATGGTCCTCCCCATGCTCCTCCAGGTCTCCATGGCAGCCAAACAGTTGAGTTTAATCACCCATGTAATCGTCATGCTTCAGAGAAAGAAGGAATGAGGCTGAGGCACGATCAGAGGGTGGATTCCCAGATCTGGTCTATATCCAGGGTTGGAGCACTTTTTCCAACCCTGAATACAGGAAAATCTTAATTTAAAAAAACCTTATGGTCCTCTAGCCACTGTCTAGACACCAAAGGAGGACTCTGCAAGGGGACTTTTGCGCACCTTGTGGAAGAGAGGTGAGAGTCCAAGAGACATGATGGTCAAAGCACTCTCTTCCATTGCACCTTCCTGAAATTCTTATCTTGAATGCCCAAAGCTCTGTTTTTGTGTGTGTAAATAACCCTCAGTTATTTAAATGGTTCACCAGTCATGCCTCAGCAAGACATTTGCTGGATTTATGTATTTAAACAAATGGACTTCACATCAGCCAAAAATGTGTGCCAGCCACTCGTGCAGCCCTTTGAGCATCAATCAGCTCTTCTTAATGTCTTTGTCAGTGACTGACAGTTGCCCAAGACTGCTCCTTGGAAGGTACCATGATTTACTTTCAGCTTTGCAAACAGGGAGCCATTCCAGCCACTAACACTCAGAGTGCCTACATGCTTACAGCCCTCTCCGCTCCCTATCACATACCTATGTGATATATTAATCCATCAGCAGGACAGTCTGTAACAGTATCCCTTTGCATGGCCAAGAGATAATCTAGGCCAGGCTCACTTTAAACAGATTTATTTACTGTATATAGGAATAGTAACCACTGCCCCACTCCCAAACAGTCCTCTGTGCATTATGGGCCTCGCTGCACAAGGCACACAACGGCCTGGCTTGCATGTAGGTTGAGAGGGCTATCCTACTTAAGTAAGTCCCTCTGAAATGGACCCAGATAGAAAACCCATTGTTTGTTAATGGGTTGTGAACTGTGGGTTGCTCGTGGTTAACAATCAAAAGTTAAAAGAAAGTGCAGGGTCTGCACTTAGCAAGAACCCATGATTCAACATGTCCATCTGTACTCTGGGTTGTTGTTACATGAGAACCAGGTCAGTATCTTTGCAAGGAATGCATTCCACCATACGAGTAGAACCACTGTTTGGAAGAAAGAAATCTAGCCCCCTTTTTACTAGGTAACATTAGATTTTTAGGCTATAAGCCCTTTAAACTGGTTAGGAACATATCACCATTCTCAGGGCCCATTTACAATTCTTGGTTTAGTTTCATTTTCTTAAATTTTTATCCTGCCGATAGTCCATGGTGCTCAAGCCGGCATACATAGTTCTCTCTTCCATGTATCTTTTTTTTTTTTTTTTTGAAACTGCCCTTGGCTACTTTTACAAAATGTAACTGGCACAAGTGAACCTTCTGGCTTAGTGGGTACTCTTATCCCTTCAGTTTTAACTGTTGATGTTGTTACTCCTATACCCCCCAACTAATGCCTATATTTCTGCCCATGCCATAAGGGCACTTTATTTATTAGATTTAGATTAGATTTATATCCATTTTTCTTACCATTTTTCTTACAATAACTCAAAGTGGCTTACATGTGTCTCCTGCTGCTGCTCTCAATCTTATTCCCACAACAACCCCGTGAGGAAGGCTGGGCTGAGAGTCTGTGACTGGCCCAAAGTCTCTCAGGTGGCTCCATGGCTCAGCATGGACTAGAACCCAGACCACCTGAGTCCCAGTTCTGCGCTCTTAACCACTACACCACACTGACTCTCACTTTATGTGAACATCTGATCACACAAACCAATGAAGTGATTATCACAAGTGTATTATATAACTTTACAGTACATCCAAAGCAATGCAGACATTCTGTGGAAGATGCAGCCATCATGAGGATCGGTGGGGAAGCAAGTCATTCATGCACACCTGCTTGGGACTTTGTGATGCTGAAGTGGCAGAAACGCTACTACGGTTGCACATGTGGATGGACTAAACTGAACCACCGCACAGGTACCTGTTGGGCTAAGACAGCCTTCCCCAGTCTACTGCCCTTCGGATGGTCTGGACTCCCAGCACCCATCTGCCCCAGTTAGCATAGCCAATGGTCAAAAATGCTGGAAGCTGTAGTCCAAAACATCTGGAGGCCACCAGGTAGAGGAAAGCTGGACTAAGAGTAACAAGAAAATATACATACTGTTCATACACAGAGGTGTATGTGGCTCAAGATGAAAATACACAGTGACTGGGTTCAGGCACATGATAACCACAGATAATCACTGAATCATGGGTAAAGGGGTTGCACCTATTGAAAAGCGGGTTGTCTGAACCCAGTTCGATAACAAATCATGGGGAACAACCCAAAGTTCATCATTGAACAAAAATCATAGGTTTTCTTCATGAGTTGTTCATAGTTACTAAACTTGTTAGGGAAGCTACATTTAAGCAAAACAATAACCCACATTTCAACAACACACAGTTCAGTGACAACCCACACTTAGCCACTAAGTGTACATTACTGCATTACTGGAATCTGGCCAGTTAGTTAAAAGTCCCCAATGCAACTGCTGTCTCAGAGTGACTAGCAAGTGGCTTCCAGTTCCAACTGGGACTGCAATGGTGGCAAGCAGTTAAAGCTGCCTTCCCCAACTCCGCGGTGAACACCTGGTGCTTCTCAATCAGTCCACTTCTGCAGCTGGCAATTTAGCTTTTAGAAATTGCTAGAAACTATGAAAATACATGACCAGAGTTATTTCTACTTAGGTCTTCAGAAGGAGACAGCTTCTTATAAGGAAATTAACCCTTTGAAAATGGCTCATTAAATGGTTGTGTGAATCAGACATGGAAACCTAAGCCTAACTAAGCTTCTTTAAGAGCAGGATTATTGGAGGGAGGGAAGTTGACTGCCAGATGTTATTATCACTGATAATTCCAAGGGAAGAGAAATGATCCCATAAATCCCACACATTAAGAGAGGGAAAATTGGTTGTTGGTACTAAATTTCAAGGAGCCTATTTTAATACAGGAAGGAAAAACTGCATCCATTAAGCCTAAGAAAATAAGGGGAATAATCATCCAGCATTTAAATAGATGTCAGAAAGAAGAACAAATTTCCCTATTTATCAAAGATGGGGGAAAGAGCCACAGATTCAAGGAAAACCCTGTTTGTGATGTTAAAATCACAACTGATTCACACAAGGAAGTCCTAGAGGGATGAATGTGGATATGTGAACTTGAACTCAGGTGCGGATACTTCAATTGGTACAAAATAGAGCTGCCAGGCTGCTGACGGGGACTGGGCATTGTTCTCATATAACCCCAGTCCTCCGTCAGCTCCACTGGCTCCCCATTGAAGTCCGGGCCCAATTCAAGGTGTTGGTTATCACCTTCAAAGCCCTGAACAGCTTAGGCCCTGGTTACCTACCTACATCCATACATGCCCTCCCATCCCTTGAGATCCGCGAGAGAGGCCCTCCTTCGGGAACCCTCCGTGAAGGACATTCGGAGGGTTAGTACTCGGAGGAGGGTTTTCTCTGTGGTGGCACCCATCCTATGGAATGCGCTTCCCCAGAGAGGTCCGCCTGGCGCCGTCCTTATTTGTTTTTCAGCGCCAGGCCAAGACCTTTTTATTTAAATGCTATTTTAACTGTTAATGGTTTATTTGACCAGGCTGGATCCACTATTCTATTTTATTTTATTGAATCTATTTATGTATGAATTTTTTGTATTTTATATGCAATTTTAATAATTGTAAGCCGCCCCGAGGCTCATGCGATGGGGCAGCATATAAGTTGTTTAAATGAATGAATGAATGAATGAATGAATGCAAACTTAGGAATTCGAAATGGGCTGTATTCATCCAAGACATGTCACCTACTCACCAGGGTGACAATGGCACATTCGGCAGTCAGCTGAGCAGCGCTGAACAACGTTCGCACAAAGCGGTAAATCTGCTTCTGTTCTGGGTCGTGTTTGTCATAATCTGGCGGCACTTCGGATTTCTGGGGAAACAACAACATGATGGTGATGAGGAGGAGGAGGAGGAGAGCAATGTAAAGCATAGCTAAGGATTCTCAAGTCTGTGGGCCAACTCTGTCTCCCTGGGGTTCTGCAATGGTCATGCCCCATCTCCCCAGCCACCAATTGCTTCTGTATCCACCCCAGTTCTGAAATATTAAAATGCTTCTCTTACAGCTTAATTACTGGTAATATGTGCTTTAAGCTAAAATATCTATTTTTTTTCTGTCCCCCCCCCCCCCACCAGTGGAATGCTTCAATGAAATGGAGTTCTGCAGGCTGACAGAAAGAGATGGACCCCACCCCTGATGTAAATGATAGGGAGAAGTGACAGAATCCAACTCCTGAAAAGAAAAGGTGATGAAGTTGATGCGCTTTACCGAAAGGGGGTGGAGGTTTTCATCAAAAATATCTAGGAGCATTCTTCCATCTGTGTCCCTGGAAAGAGAAGGAAACCAGGAAAATGATAACCAACGTGATACACCAGAAAAAAGACAGAGGTGGAAAGTGAAGGCTGCAATCCATTATTATCCACACTCTATGTAAAAACATAGTGCAGCTGCTTCTCAAACTGCTCCAGTAAAAAGCCACATGCTCATATCTATTTATTATATGTTATCCTGCCCTTTTTTCCTGCAATGAACCCAGAGTGTCTTACACAATCGTTTCCCTGTTCTCTATTTTAGACTCACAAAAACCACCCTGTGAAGTGACTGGCCCAAAGTTGCCCAGTGAGTTTCATGGCTAAGTGGCAACTAGAACCTAGATTTCCAGAGTCCTCATGCATCAGCATCACACTGGTCCTCCTCAACAGACAATACTTCTATTCCTTTCCCTGTAAATATGGTCTATCAGAGTGGGCAATGCTTACATGGCAGAGGAACACTTCACTGACCTTGCCAACCATTCAAACCTCCTGGACTCCCAGTCTGAATCTCGGGGATTCTGCAGACAGCAGCCATGCCTCCTTCCTCCCAATCGCTTCCTGTGCTCTCTTCGCTTTTGTGTAACTTCCCCCCTTGTTCTTAAAGTTGAAATGAATCCCCCTTAGGGCTGTTCTGGGCTGTAAGAACATTAAATTAAAATATGGCCATGCCTCCAAAACCAAAATTGGCCCTGGGCTGAACTAGCTCCTCAGCCCTGACCTAGTCATTAATCTCTCAAGTGAGTGGGCCCTGAGGGATTAATGCACAAGGAAATGGGCTTACTCAAAGGTAACAGTCAAGGTGCTTGGCAACTTTGGGTCCAGGTGATCCAATGCCAGCTCTGACCCACCCACAGAACATATGGTTTGGGGACATTCTGTTTGCATCTGCTGGAAGTAGCTTTTTTCTCCACAGGGAGAGAAACCCTAAACCTTTGCAATGATTCTTATCAGGGGGACAGGACTGCAATCTAATGATCTACCAACACTATACTGGCTTTTAAACCTTGTAATATAGAAGAATTTTTCTTACATGCATATGTGAATGGTTTTACTAAAAAGAGAAAGACAGCTCAACTACCATACACAAACCCTGTTCTATTTTGCTGTGCACAAATACCTGCCAACTTAGCAAAATGGGCACTCATGCTGATATACCTTTCTCTGAATCCTCTTAAGGTATAAGAACTAGAGAAAGTGTTTAAAATTATTTAGAAATTTATTTATCCTTTATATCCTTTAATACTTCCATTCTGCAGGACTGCTTTTTTAAAAGGTAGACGAATCACAAGATTAAAAGAGCCGCATGGGTCATTAAAGCCAGACTTTTCCTCCCTCTCTTTTAACTTACTTTTGCAATTAGACTTATAGCATGTTCTACCGAGAAGGTCAATGCGACAAGATTTCCTTCTTTCTCATGCTCACACTTGTGTGGAAGGTCACCTTTTGCTCTATTTTACAGGAATACAGTACACCTAAGCTCGGTTTTTCCTGGTCTCAGTCTTATCACAGGGCCACTCTATCTATCTATCTATCTATCTGTTATATAGCCCATTTTTTTCTTACAAAGTACTCAAAGCAGCCTACATGATTTGTCTCCTACTACTCTCAATCTCGTCCTCACAACAACAAACCTGTGAAGTAGGCTGGGCTGAGAGTTTGTGACTTGCCCAAAGTTGCCCAGTGTGCTTCATGGTTGAGCGGGGACTAGAATCCAGATCACCTGAGCCCCAGCCCTGCACTCTTAACCACTATACTACACTGGCTCTCTCATTATATTGAGCGTGTATGTGTGAATTCAGTCCAATATTAAAATGAAACAGACTGTGATAGAAGAGAAAGCTTTCCCCACCCCTTTGCAAGCTTACTGCATTCACTCAGAGAGTGAAATCCCAGCAACTACAGGAAACAAACATTACAGAAATTGTGTTTATAATTTTGGTGGTGGGGTCCCAATTGTCAGCTTTGATGAATGTAGTTTTTTGGCTTGCTTGACTAATTTTTCTCTTTAGTCATTTTAAAAACACACACACAACATAAAACAACATAAATGGTTTGAGGTAACATGAAACTTAACAAAATGCCTAATTAATGGAATGTGCTGCCACTTGATGGCCGATAGCTTGGATGGTTTCGAACAGGGATTAGACACATTCAAGAAGGACAGAGCTATCCATGACTATTCACTATGGCTACACAGCAATTCCGCACTGAGAAGTATACCATTGAATACCAATTTCTGAGAAGGAGCAACAACGGAAAAGGGCCACTAACTTCACACATGCATATAGGCCCTGGCCTTCCTATAGACATTCTGGTGGCCACTGTGGGAAACCTGATGCTAGACTAGATGGACCTTTGGTGTGATCCAACTTGGTTTTTTATGTCGCTCAGGCAGGCCAGGTAATGTCAAGTATCTCTGGGATACAGCAGAGGGCGCATGTGCAACATGCTGGGCACTGACGACTACAGAGAAGATTCTCACTACTGGGGTTATGAAAGGGAAGCAGAGCAAGTTGGGAATAGCCAGCTCTCTGCCTATCTGCAACCATACCAAAGCCTAGACCTGAGTTCTAAAACCGAGCTTTAGAGCAGCCCCTGGTTTTGTAAGAAATGGCTTAAGGAGAATCATATGCAACATCACTCCTGAATAAGGCAGGAAAAGACTGAGAGTGAAGGAATAGGTAGCAAGCAGAATCCCACAACCTGTCTTTGATTGATTAAGGGCAGGCTAATATTATGTCCTACAGAAATACTAAGGAACTAAAGGAGTAAAACTGACTAGGTTCCCTCTTTCGATGAGAAAATATTTTAATAGCTTTACTGTCCTCTTCTTTCCAAGGGTTGTGCTGGCAACCTTCTTGGTTCAGAGCAAAGAAACCATTTCACTCCAGTTTTTTGGCATGACATGGCGGTGCTACTATAAAAGCATCTGAAATCAATGTGACTTGCATCTTGAGCTGAAATGGGAGCATGGATCAAACAGTCCGTGTCTCTTATCTTTTACACAACAAGAGAGTCAACACATGAATGCATCAAACAGCACCAAATTAAATGCCTCACAATTCACTTACGGCATATTAAACAAGAAATTAAACTGACGAACCCAGAAAAAGGACTGTATGTTTCCAGGATTTTAGCTGAACACAGTGTTAAGTACTATGGCAGACAGAAGCTCCCTGCAGTACTTTTGAGCATCCCAAATCTCCAAGAAATATGAGCTTGCAGGATTTGGGCCTGATATCCATCCCACAATGCTTAAAGGTCTGACAATCTTCCCTTCTTTTGTTTCTTGTGCCTTGGTCTGACCTGAAAATACGCATTTCAAATGTATTTTAAGGGCTTTTTTGAGATTCCATGGTGCCAAAAAAGCAGTTTCTGACTGGCTTCTTTAGAATTATGTAGCTACATGGATATGACCCATGCAGGTCTTTTCTACTTTACCACTGCTCTTCCAAGAGAGTGTCAAGTGCAAAGGATCTACTCCTATGCTGTTGGTCCCACACTCCTAACACCTCTGACAAAACAAATGCAATAGTCCTAAACTTTTAACAGAAATAATTGTCTGTAAACAGCACATGCTTCCCAATATAAGATTCTGGTGCTACCAGTCTAAAGACATTGTGCATCAACTTTGCCCTTCCCTCCTTAATGGATTATTTCTAGTATGAAAAGAAACCAAAATATCAAGAAAACATGCAAGGGTTCAAAATGGAAGATAATGTCACCTGGACCCTCTGTACAATTCTGAGAATGAGGTAGAGTAATTTATAATAGAAGCCTCATTGGGAAGTGTATTGTGTCCGCAGGCTATTGCAAGGGCAAAAAGGAAAGAGAAATTAATTAGAAAAAAATATTGGCTATCTCAACATTAACATACCTGTTTTTGATGTGGTAATATATTGCAAGAGCTACACTGTAAAAAAAATTGAGAGAGTTAGTGCCATGGGATACGAGTGAGCATTTTGTATAACATCATAGTATTAAGCCCTACAAACACATTACATTTCTTAGAAGACTAAGCCAAGCTGTAGGAACAATTTCTTACCAAGGGAGAGATTAGGGATGAATAAAAAGAGTGCTGAATGTTAACCTGAAGCAAACAGAGCTGAATAACTTCATTTGCATAGCATCTAATGAAGTGCTTCTTTAGATCTGCATAGCTCTGAAATATGCAAATTTTGAAAGAAAGTAATCAAATAAAGAGAGAGATTGAGACCAGTCAATGATACTGGAGGCTTTCCATGCACTGGGAGTAGTATGGGGTGGGGGAGCATCCTGGGTGAAAAGCAGTCCAAGAGGTAACCCAGGGAAACATTTTGGGAGGCATCTATGAATCCAGAGCAATTAGAAAACTTGTATGGCAAGATACTCAGCAGTACTGCAATGTAAATGCAGTTTGCTTGGTTTACCTGGTCAGCTGTTGAGCAAGCAGGAGGCACTAAGTAGAATGGACAAAAGGAACAAAATGCTTCCATAGTAGATTATCTTGCATGAAGTGCAATGGTCAAGGAGAGGAAAAGGAAGATGTGAGAAAGAAGCTAGCATCAGGTATGAAAAAAGTGCAAGCCATGAATGCAAGAATGGTATTGATATAAAAACCAATATGAATCTGATGAAGAGGACAGATACACATGCATCGATAGCAAGCAATTTTAAGAGGGACATTTGAATTGAGTGAAATATGATAAGCCCATAGAAAACCAGCAACCTGGTAAAAGACTGTCAGTGATGTCAGAAAGGATTTAACAATTAAGAAAGCAATTCTGTGCCTCCCTAAAAATTGTCTGGGGGAGGTGTAGGATACTTGGGAGAGAATGCTCTGGCCTCAGAGCAGGGAATCTGCTCTCTTGTCCTCCTACCACTTCACAGTCTATGTGGAAAGAATGGCACCAGCTGCCCCTCCAAGGTAAGAAAAGGAGGAGGGGAAATGGGGTCTTAGGAAAAGAGATAAAGGGACTGAGGCTGCCGGGATACAAGGGATCCTAGTGGCATGCCAGCCTCCTTCCCACCCTCTCTAAAGTGGCCCATCTAACTAAAATGCAGAGTGGGAGGTGCTGGGAAGCTGACATGCCACCTCTCCTCCGGCTCAGTTCTGAATATTTGTAAGCCTCTGACTTCATTCCATTGTGTGATTGTAGGATTACTGGGAGCTGTAGGATTCTTTTTCCTTTAAACATGCATAAGATTGCAACCAGAATATGAAAAAGAAATAGCATGCCACACACAAGCAAAATGGGGAAAAGCAGTAGAACGTGAAAAGGATACGCATGTGTTTGGTGTACTAACATTTGATCTCAATATTGATCTCAATAGTAATTCAAGAGGAGATTGAAAAATACTTTCAAAATGACAAGGTATTTTATTGTCTCTACTTGATGACAGGTTGTTATCAGTGATTCACTATTTACTATCCTTATTTGAACTTATGACTTCCCACTACTGTGTCGTATGCTGCTATTTATCTAAAACATGAAAGATGACTCAACATATGATGTGGTTCAAGAATTTCCGTTCGCATGGACTTTTACAAGAAAACCACCATTTATCAGATGCATCACAAATTAGAAAAGACAGCATGTTTCAATTATACTATGATTTGCCTTCAAGGACCTTCAAAGACTGTTAGCACCAACGATTTGGAAATAAATGGAAAGACGTAATTATTTGTGTCTCTTTCATAAGTTCTCACCCTTTTAATATAGAAATATTCTAGGCTCTGAATGTCATAGTAGCTGCAAGACTGAATCACAACTTGAAAAGTATAGCGAATTCCAAAGATATTTAGATGCTCAGGGACTGCAAACATCCATGTATCCATAAAGCACTGAAAATCAGTACAGACAATGACAAATCTGTATACAACATCCAGATTTTAATCAAAGAGTCAGAATTGGAAGACGCCACCAAGAAGGGCAACTATTATTGGAATGCTTCAGTCAAAGCAAACCAGTTGGTCTACAGTTCATCCTCCCAATGCCCTATCTAAAAACATTCACTAAAATCTTGCTATGATGGGTATTAAGATGACAAATGACAATACATGGTTAGCAACAAGTCTCAAGATTTCAAAGCTGGAACCATGTCAATTTATATGTGGCCCCATTACACAAGCAGCAACTTGCAGGACTCGGCTTTTTCAGGTGGAACTGTAATGCAGGACTTCTCCTGTTACCATGCAGCACTGCATGCACCTGTGCCAACAGCATGATGCAAGAAGCAGCCCCATGCACCAGTCTATATTTTAGGCTGAAGGAGAGGGGACACAGGGAGGTTGTGTTTTATTCCCCTTTCCTGCCAGCTGTCAGTCAGAAGCATTCCACTGATACGGATACGTGAAATCTGTCACTGCAATCCACAGTAGTTCTGCAGAATCCCATGGAAAAATGCCAGAAGACCTAGCCAAGTTCCTCCTTCCTTTTCTGGAGTGCCTTTGTTAGAAAAAAATATTAGAAATAATTAAAAACAGCATTTTGTTTGAGCAAAGGAATGCAGCCATACGCACCATTTAATTGTATACTTGAGGTTGGGCTGACTGACTGTGCTGTCATCCAAGAAAATAGTAGAACAGGAACTGTATTTCCTTCTCAACTGACCAGGAGGATGCTAGAAAAGAAACGTAAGAAGAACAGTGGCAGTCACACAATACCAGAGAACTTTTCTCCCATAGCCAACACAGTGGACAGTTCCACTCTGTCTCTTGCACATGCATGAACACATTAAAGTCAACAGGACCCGGGAGGAAAAAATGAGAAAGCTTGGGTATCTCACACATCCTATTCAAATGACAGATCGCCACTGGTTCATATACAAAGAACAATACAGAGAGAGTCATAAATCATTTGTAAAGCAAATAAGAACAATGTGTTCTAACTCAGTTTATTCCTAAAAGGCAGAGACTGGATACAACCAAATTTGTGGTAGGAGCATCATAAATACCAAGTATACACCATACTTGCATTCCTAATCAGATGTGAAAAGGCTATTCAGACATCACTGAATCCAACCTCCTCTATCAGACAAAAGCAATGAAGATTTGAAATGAACATGTACACTTGGTTCAGCAAAGGGATGTTTTCTTCAAGGTTTATTTATATCTATGTATTATTTAACACTTTCATATACCATTGCAATCACGTTTTGGTTCTCTGGATGGTTTATAAGGTACCCATTCTGTTGGCCTCTGTCTTCAGAAGCTGACAAAAAACATTCCAGCAGGCGAGTGCATTTTAAACAAGTTATTGATTTGGTTTTCCTCAGCCTTCCTCAACCTAACAAAAGCAAACAGAGAGGGACTGGTACCTGAACTGTACATCTAAGGACTGTATATTCACCGCTTCATACACCGGGGGGGAGGGAGGCAAAATACTAGGATGCTCTGTTCTTGCTGGAGGAAAAAAGCATCCTGGGTTGCAGCAGTTTTCTTCTCGTGATTTTTATTTCTTTGCCTTTCTATAGATTCTGTTAACCAACCACAAGGTGGCACTATGAAATAGCTGCACCATAGCAGATGTGTGACTTTTGGGGAGGCTTTTATATTCTAATATGTTGCAGTTTAAAATTGAATACCAGACTAAAAAGTCTGGAAAACAAGGAAGAAGCCCTGGAGGACGACAGCATGGTGAAAAGGTCCCACAAACTTCCACAAGCGAGGGATCACGAGAGCACAATAAATGCCTTGTGCAGAGAAGCCTCTTCATCTTCATACAATATGCCAGTCAATGTACAGAGCAGGATGGGGAAGGGAGTATTAATTGTAATAATGTGCCTAAAAAGATCCTGTTTTAACCCATGCTAAGACTCTTATTAAAATGCAGACATGGTGAACAAGATCTAATTGTGCTGCACATGAACCAAGAGTTAAGCCATCATAGATGGTGAGAAAATGTTGTAAAAATATCTATGATGAGGTACGGGGCTGAGGTGCTTTACAACATCTGTCCTACCATCTGTCATATTACATATTAGAGCATATTTTACAGCCAAGATATTCCCTGCTAAGGAAGGAAAAACAGAACAAGCTGGCTAAAAGCTGAACTCAAATCTCAAAAGCTTAATAATATCAATTCCAACACACACACACTGAAATCACGTGGAGCTGAAGAGTAAAGTTTGGCCACTAGTCTAGGTAATAAGCATGGCAGCAGTTCACGAAGGCTTCAAGGAAATGCCTCTCTCAACTTCTACTGCTGGAGATGACTAAACTGAAAATGCTGGGACTTGGGCATGGGATTTTATACATGCATACTTAACTGATGAATTATAGTTTCTCCCGGAAGGCACTTAAGCTCCTCTCCAAACAGGGCAAAAACTTGCAACATTTTGATGCCCAAGCAACAATCCCAATCAAATGGACACCCACCCAGCCAGTACCATGTTAAGCAAGGAACCCTATGTTTACCTACTCAAAAGCAAATCCTATTAAATTCAGTGGAAGCTACTGCCAGGTAAGTGTGTATAGTGTGTGAATTCACCTACAATTCTTGACACTGGTAGGGAAACATACCAGTTATGGATAATTTAGGGAGCATCCTATGCCTGTTCACATAAAACAAGTCCTACAAGTCATAAGAACTTAAGAACACAAGAAAAGCCATGGTGGGTCAGAGCAAAGGTGCATCTAGTCCAGCACTCTGTTCACACCGTGGGAAACCAGCTGCCCACAGGATCCCTCAAGCAGGGTGGGTGCAAGACCTCCACTTGCCTAAGCACTTCAGCATCTGGTATATGCAGGCTTGCTACCTTCATTAAGCAAAGATCTCAAGGATACATTCCACTAACAAGCAAGCCATGTATCACATGCAAAGATACGTGTATTGTTGTGTAGCTGCAGGTGATTTGTCAACTAGAGTATTAATTCAATACTAGCATTAATAGAATAAGACATGTTATAACATTACAAAAGCACATATGCTGACCTTCGTAAGGGAAAAAGAAGCATTTGGCCTGATGAGATAGAGGGAATACAATCATCCTCACAAATCTAATGTGAAAATGTGAAAGACCTTGAAAAGGCCTTCAATCCACCATGGAGTGAATCATGAGGTGGATGGGAAAGAAAGGTTTCACCTCCCTCTAAATCCTATCCAGTGATGCAGTGATCGTGTTTGTAGACTGCATCCCCATCCCCAAGGGAAGCAGCAAAATACAGGGAGGTGTGTTGATTCACGTGTGCATGTGTGCACATGTATTATATGAAATAAAGCTAATGAATCTTAATTACCCATTTAAGGCCAAGCCACCCCAAAATACTATGCATGGTATACAACAATATATTGTTGTAGGAAACAGCAGTTTTTCTCAGCTCCTAGAAGGGTTTCAGCCAAGCTCAGAGGGTGTCACCTGCTAATCAGAAAGTGCCAAGGCTTGAACCTTGCGAGCCTTGGCTCCACCGTGCCACTGATTCCATGGTACAAAGTATGCTTTCCAGCTTTTTCCCAGGTCTCTGCCTCTAAAACCCAAGTGAATACCTGCCTTCAGCAATCCTGCCTGCTTTTCGTCTCCCCTTGGCCAACTACTTTGCACCCTGTCCACCATGGCACTCTGTGACTGTGCTACCACTCTTTGGACTTCAGCCTTCCTAGCTGCAGCAGCACATAGGGCAAAGACGACATGCAAGTGCCCAAACCTCCAATAAGGTTGAGATTTCACCACAGAAAAATGACCCGAGCAGGATGTCAGGATTACAAGCCACAGTTAGCAGTGGAAAAAAGAATGTGTTCTGCAGACCACTGTGCATTCACCAGAAACTGAGAAAAGGGCTTTGTTTGAAAAGCAAAATGAAATAAGAAAAAGGGTTTGCTTGGCAAGCACAATGATCTTGCCTCTCCTTCCAGCTTTCAGAATCACAAAGGAAATGACCAGGAACCAAATTCCTCATATTCCCACCTTGGGTGTTTTGTTGCTATGCCTTTGCCACAGCACACTGGAGTTCTGAAGAAATATGGTTGCTGTTATTTGGTACACAGTCTCACCCCTGCCTCCTTTCTGAACTTTCAAAGTCCTGCTGTTTAGTTCTGCTGCTGGTGGTATTTTATTTCTGAGAGGGGAAAATGTTTGAACAGCTCTAATCTTCAACAGAGTGGCTCTTATCAAAACCAGAACAGGCTACAGCTGAGAATCAATGAGATGAAAAACATGCAAGTTCAGAAGTGCCTGTAGCTCGGTTAGCTGTATATAAATTCCTGTGTGAATGCCTATTTATCCTAATGGGGGTAGCTAGTGGGGGGTTAGGTTGGGAAGAAGGATAAACTTTGATTTCTAAACCCAAAAATACTGAAAGCCAAGTAGCAACTGCTGGCAGTATCAAAACCCAGGTAGTATGGGAAAGGATATGAAAAGACATGAAGAGGCAAAACAAGAAGCACTTAAGATAAAAATAACTCAGACTACACACAAAGGATTGCATTGCCCAGACAAGATGCTCCAACCAGCCTTCACCAGGTTTTGAATATGGGTTGCCGAAGTTGGGTGCTTGGGGCAAACTGCCCAAGGGCCCATCAGTCTCTCTGCCAGAGCTGCCCAGGATGGTCTCCAGGGTGATGTTGGAATCACTCAAGCTGGTTATTCTGGGGAACTCCAGCAAGTCCACAGCTAGGCCTCCTTGTCAAGACCAATTCAAAAATTAATGACTAGCAGGGTAACCATGGGCCTGTCCCAGTTAATTCCAGGGCCCATGCATCCAGCTGGACATGCTTCAGACTTCCTTCCTTCCTTCCTTCCTTCCTTCCTTCCTTCCTTCCTTCCTTCCTTTATTTTGCTAGATGTGATCTGGAGGTAGGGAAATTTAATATAATTTTGTTTTTATGGACAGATCACTATTTCATCAGGTTAAGGTTCATTGGTTTGTCTGGACAGTTAAGTTATTAAGATTGCCTAAATAGGACTATTGGCACAATTTATAAATTCAATAAATAAATGAATAACTCTGAATGGTTTTTTGATGGCTCTTGAGGATTTCCATGTCACACAGTCTGGTAATGATGTCAAAGCCCCGGCAAACCTCTGAAATTGGGATACCTTCCGGCTAGTTTACACCATTGCTCCTGAACATAATCTCCCTGGAAAAAAGGCTAAACTAATTCCTTGGTAGTCCCAAGAGCTGACAGCAGTGAAATGGCAGGAAAGTCAACCAGAGCAAACATGGTGGAAGTCTTGTAATGAATCTGATTGAACACAGGCTAAAGCTCATTTCAGAATCACCTAATCTATGGTGATGATGGTGGCAAAGAAATCTTACTTTCCTGATGTGGTTGTGTCTTCTCAGAGCTAGCTGAAAGAGCTGTTCTGAGCAGCAAACAGGATCTTACACCTAAGCCCACCTGGGGGAGTGAGGAAGCCCACTATCACTAATTTGCTAGGCACGTTGCACATAAAGTCCCTCATATTCTCACCATCTTAAATGCTGTAGTTAGAACAGTACCAATATACATACCATTGACACTTGTTTGCCCAGTTAGGAGGGCTCAACTTGGGTGGCTTGAGGATGTGTAGAGGATTCTTGGGGAGGTGAGATGAACTTCTTGGCCCTTGCTTACCCTGGCTAATAAGAGGAGCCCAGAAACGGACTAATCAAATTGGTGATGATGGCAGAAGCCTCATTATGG